AGGGGTGAGGGGGGGTTGTTTTGTTTTGTGTATTTCATGTGTAACAAAGAACACCTGACTAGTGTGATCTTAAAAAAGAATTGAACCCTTGATAACACTGAAAAATAATGAAACTTTTAAATCCTCCAGAATGTGAAAGACTGCACAGGGATTATAACTAATGCATTTTATTCTTATGTCTTGCTGATTCCACAGACAGCTGCCTTAGGGGTGCAGTTCTAATCAATGGCTTTATCCACTTGGCAATCTATACCTCAGAAACACAAATCGGAGAAAACCATCAATGTATAAAAGAGACCTATAAATCAGAATGTCAGGTGGGCATAGTCTCATATTAATAACTAGTGTTTATAGATTATTACATAAAGCATTTCATGGGCACAAATTTATGGTCTTCATATCCCTCCAGGATGCGACCACATCCCTGTGGGAATATGACGTCCGCTGTTATTTTTTTCTGACAACAGGAATGTTAAGTTACTGACAGGAAAGTCCGTGCTGGCTTCTCTCTCCTTATTTAAGCTTTTAAATGATTTACTTCAGGGGCTCATCTTTTCTTTTTACTCTTTTGTAAGTTAAGGCCCCTGATCTTTTCTGATAAGAGTCTTTTCTTTTAAAGTCTACCTATCTATCTATGTGCAGAGTAGAGAGAACTCACGGAGAGCTTACACTTCCATCCACATAAAATTGGGAAATTGGGTTAAAAAAGTAGAAAGGCCAGATATTTGCAGTGGGTCCATTTCTGGAGTTTAATAAATGTGTTCAAATATTCATCATTTTAGTTCTTTCGATGAGGTCAGAATAAGAGTCTTTTCTTTTAACGTGTACGTATCTATCTGTGTGCAGAAAATATTTGTTTCCATGAGCTCCAACCCAAGAGTGGTCCGACATGTTGGCAAGTTTCTCTGAGTTGATACCCCTAGGACTATTAGTTCACTAAAATCAACTTAACCAGCAAACAAACGCAAGTGCAAGGAATAAATGCTCCTTCTTAAGAGCTCTTTCCATTCCTTTCCTTTTTTATGCTGCAAGCATATCATTCATATATGTTGGAAGTGTGCTGTTTCATTCCCTTTCTTTTGAAAAACTCCCAAGGGTCCTTTTGAAGGATTAGACCCAGGAACACCTGCATTAGTGCAAATACCGGCTGCTCCTGGGGCCTCTACTGGGTAGAACTGCCAGGTGAAGCAATGCAGCCCACGAGGGATTCTCAGTGCCATTTTAAGGAGCCACAGACTCTAAGTGGACATATGAGTAACTAGAATCAGTAAGCAGGAACAGAGTTAAAGACGTATACTGGTCCTCTTCCTTGAGGTAGCTATCAGTCTTAGAACCTGTAAGAGAAAGCAGATCAAAAACAAACAGGAGGCTGAAGGCAGAAGTGTCAGCTCACCTGCGGGCATGTGAGTTACCAAGTTTCTAGGGGGTGTGTGAGAGCCTGAGCAAAAGAGCACCCTGGGAGAAGCCAGTTACCAAAGATCCATTGTCTGAAATTCAGACGGCATTTCCACCACCGTAAGACTGACTTCATTGTCAAACACCACCAATATGTCTTGCTAACGAACAGATATTTTGAAGAGTGTCCTATTTTTCTACTTCCAAACAAACATAGAGGAAAGGGAAGACCTACGTGTGTGTGTGTGTGTGTGTGTGTGTGTGTGTATTTTCAAATTCCTGTGTGAAAAGAAAGGGCTTACCTTCGTCATGGATGCCATCAGAAGCTACAAAGTCAACATTGTCCAGTAGACAGAATGTAAAGCCCTGCTTGAGTAATTAAAATGACAGCAGCAGCGTAGCAGTTAGCCAGGAAGACATATCTCATTTGTTTCCAGTTGCAGATAGAGTCATCCAGCTCGTTCTGGATTATCTCTGTTCCTGCTGGGTTTATTTTCATAGTTGGCACCAAAACCTCTCATATAAATTTCCCTGACATTTTACAGGGGAGTTCAATGAATTTTCCACCTTCCCACAACACCCCACATATACAGCATGTATCTACCACAGATCAATTTTATTCACTTTGTAACAGCTTTCCTCAAAGTTGTCCCCAAAGTGTACAAGATAAGAAAGAGAAGAGAAAAAGAAGGCAAAAGAGGCCTAAGACTATAATAAATATGCTTTTGTGATGGTAAAAATTTATATTTGAGGAAAAACTACAATATTACTAGTTCAATTCCTTTAGAAGTACAGTGAATATACCTACTTTTGTTTGGGGTTGAAGAAGGGGACATTATCCAACTTACTACCTTTGATTACCCTGAGAATTATACTATCCACAATGTACCTCTTGTCTTGTAACCAGGGATTAATTGTATAGTTTTCTGCCTGAATTTCTGCTTTACTTATTAGGACTTTCAATAACATGTCACTGAACTCTTGGTTTCTTCCTTTCTGCAAACAGCTTCTGTCAAACCTTTCTAACCCTCTGGTCAAGTCCCAGAAGTAATTTTGCTTCTGGACTAAGCATCCCAGCCCTAGCTATTTCTGTAGTCTGTTCCTCTTTCCATAATACTTATCTGTTGAGGAGAAACTTCTTTCTGAAAAATGGAGATTACTGTCCCCCTTGGATCTAACGTTCTCCTGATTTCCCAGTGGCAGCAGCAGTCAGCTAACTTCCTTCTAGACACAGAGCTAAGCCCATGCTTCAGGGTCCTCTACCCTGCCCAGCAGAGGAGCCATCTCCATTCCTGACACTCATAGGGCTTTCTTAAAAAAATCACTGAGCCCAGTATTTAATGAGCAGCTCTTAAGCGCTAGGCACTGGGACACAGTGTGAACAAAAGACGAAATTCCTACCCTCTTGGGGTATACATTCCAGGGAAACGGAAGTATGAGAAATACAGGAAAACTTCTTTCTGCAAAAGTCCATGACATAAATGTCTTGTGGCAGTCCCAGACTCCTTTTCATTTTTTTTCCCTTTTCTTTTGCTATGTACCTGACATTTTCCATGGCATTCAAAATGAGAGGTTATAGATCAGGTGTGGTGATTCAGAACCATAATCCCAGCACTTTGGGAAGCAGGATTACTTAGGCCCAGAATTTCAAGACTGCAGTGAACTATGATTGCTCTGCAACACTAGAGTCTAGGCCACGGAGTGAAACCCTCTCTCGGAAAAAAAAAAAAAAAAAAAAAGGAGGATTGAGAGAGACTTTGGGGAAACAGAATATATGTTAACTTCATTCTAACAAGGACCAAGGATGCTAGTTAGCCAGACTTTCTGCTTTTTACCTCTATGCAAGATCTAATCCTTTGTGTCTAACCTATCTATAGAAAGGACGCTATATGAATGGTATAAGTGTGTAAGAGGGAGATACAGGGGCTGTATCTGTTCAAAGAGTACCATAATTACACTATTCAGTGGTTAATAGGGAGAGAGGTTTTTTTTTTTTTTTCAGTTTCTCTATATCTAAACTTAGTTCATTTAGTCTTTGTATCAAGAAGCTAAAAATATACAGTCACATTCTTAAAGCAGGTTTTCAATCATAACCCATTCCTGTTAACTTTTCAGCCAGTCAACACTGCAAAACAAAAAAAGGAGTTATTACCATTAACACAAACTTTGTGTCAGGTTTAGATCCCAAATAAACTTTTAATCTACTAAATCTAATTATTTTTCGAAGTGAAAGTTTACTTCAAGATATAACATCTTGTAGCCCAAGATATAATTGGGTAGGGTAACTTTGAGCCTTGCCCACCTCTGGCATTCCCGGGGAACCCCTGGTGCCCTGGGAATGCAGTTTGAAAGCAGCTCATCTGCTCAGCTAAGTTAAATCCTTTTGTTCATATTTGGGAAGAAACTGAGACCCATGGAGATTAGAACTTATTCACTAAAACTTCTTAGCCATTTAACAATACAGCAAAAACTGAGACTCAGGCCTCCTGCCATATAGCCAATACTGGGTCATGTCATTTCTTTCAATGAAAATGTGACGGCATTTGTGGATTGGCTCTCATTTTCCAATTTTCAAAGAAAAATTTAGCAATCAAAAGGATCCTTATATTGTGTGAACCAAGTCTGTCCAGACTCAAATCTCCCCAGTGAGCAGCACTGCAGCCCACCCCACCCCAGAGGCCAGTTCTGAGGCGTAGCTCTGAGACAGCAGGAAGGTCATCTCTGCCTGGGTACCTAGCAGGTGGAGGAGAGATGTGCTGCACAGTGAAGGGGCAGCTTTCTGTGCTTCTCTCCTCACTCTTAGCCAGAGGTGGGGGTGGGGGCAGCCAAAGTTTTCTTGCTGAGGGAAGTTCTGTTTAACAAAAGCGTCTTGATAAGCTCCTGACCACAGTGCAAGTATTCAGACCTCATTACTCTAAAAATGATGCTACTATCTCACCTCCCTCGTTATTAACTGCCACAGAGGATATCCCAAGCCACAGGCTTCACAAGTGGGCCCCCCGAAAGGCTAGCCCTTGCTTCTCTTTCTCTGAATGATGCCATCAGCTTTAGTGCTTTTAAACAGACGCTAAGGTCAACAGTCCCTTTACTTCTGACCTCTGGTTGGAGAGGGAACCTCAGTTAAGGCTGCACCTGGTGTCTGGCACTTGAGGACGTCTCAGTTCTCTCCCCTGCCTCCACCTGTTATCTCCCAACTTGACCTTCAGACTCTTTTACACTGGGATGTTAGGAGGAGTGGAGCCTTCTGACCTCAAGGAAGCAGGAGAGAGAGGGCCTCTGTGTTCCCAGTAGACTAACTTAGTTCAGACTTTATCTCTGCAGCTTCCTGTCCATCTGAGTCACGGCCACTTCCCCTGCCTGGCCCTGATAGGGCTTGTGCTGGCTTTCCTCCTGATATTCGTAGAGGGCAGTCCTTGCCCTTATCCACACTGAGGGGAAAGGCTTGACCAATTTAGAATTAACCCTTCCTATTCTGGAAAACTGAAGCCATGAACATTTGGTTTCTATCATTTCCATGTCCCCAAAACAGAAACACAAATTATCCAGTTCAGAGCTCTTTGGGAGAGGTGTTATTAACATGCAACCTACACTGTCCATCTTTTCAGGAAGAAAATGAGATCCCCGCCAGTGTGTTTGTGAAAGAGCCAGTCCCCAGCCCGGTGGAAGGGCAGGAGGTGCTCGCTGATGAGAACAGGTCCCTGGAGGACACCCTGCACACAGTGGACCTCTCCTCGGACGACGAGCTGCCCCGCGATGAGGAGGCACTGGAGGACAGCGCGGAGGAGAGGACCGAGGAGAGTCGGGCGGAGAAGATTAAAAGGTCCAGCCTCAGGAAAGTCGACAGCCTTAAGAAAGCATTTTCCCGCCAAAACATTGAGAAAAAAATGAACAAGCTGGGGACAAAGATCGTATCCGTGGAGAGGAGAGAGAAGATTAAGAAATCGCTCGCTTCTGGTCAGCAGAAAATAACCTCAGGGAAAAGCTCACCCTTCAAGGTTTCTCCTCTGACCTTTGGTCGAAAGAAAGTCCGACAGGGAGAAAGCCCTGCAGAGAATGAGACGAGGTCCGAAGACGCGCCCAGCAGCGAGCAGGTGCCCAACGACCAGGAGGACGGCTCGTTGGCCGAGGGCCTGTCAGAGGCGTCGCTCCCCAGCGTGCTGACGGAAGGGGACAACACGGAGGGCACTGCCGAGAAGGCGGCCTCAAGAGGGAGTAACTCGGGCATGGACAGCAACGTCGACTTGACCATTATGGAAGATGAAGAAGAGGAGCCGGTGGCCCTGGAGCAGGCGCAAAAGGTGCGCTATGAGGGCGGCTACGGGCTCCCCTCGGAGGAGGCAGAAGGGTCGGATGGGGAACAGGTGCAGCCGGCTGTGCTGCGGGTGGACCAGAGCGCCTAAGAGCACACCCCGTCCAGCCTGCCGTGCCCAGCCCACCTGTGCCCAGGCTGTGCCATCAGCTAAATGACCAACCACAGCCTCAGCAAAGCCTCCCACACTCCAGCCCCACCCGCACCCTGTTGTGTGACGGTCCAGGCAGTAGTAACTTACCACCCAGTAGCAGCAGCACACTCAAGACCAGGATTTACCATGAAAGCAACCACACAGAGGCTCTGCTTTTAATTTACCCCTAGGTTCTATTTCTATAGAATTTCTCCAAGATGGCCAGGAAGAAGAAATGGAGCGTTGAAAAACATGGATCTGCTTGGCTTACACAGAAAACCAGAGGATATTGAAGATACTAGTCGTGAAATGTGATTCATTCTTTTGTGTCATTCCATGAACTTGCTGCATAGTGTACCAGTAATGTATTGAATTTCTCCCGTACTCTGTGAATCTAATTATTACTCAAGTGGGTGATTATATAATACACACGAATACATAAGCTAAAGATACATTTTAAGAAGAGAACATTCACACAAGGTAGAAGGGAATAGTCAGTTGGTTACTCTCTTGATACAATAGATGCCATGGTTTTATTGTAAACAAAGGAAATAATGGAAGACTGTAAAAGCTAATGAAGTAAGAAAAGTGGCAAAGTCAGGGCTATTAAAAAAGAAAACTGAAAAGGAAAAGTTGGGAAAATAAGAGAAACAGGAAACAAAGAAGGCCAAAGAGATTGAAAACAAAGAGAAAAAAGATGTACTGAAAATAAAATAGTTATGATATTAGCTTAACTGTTTCACTCCTTAAATAACAGTACTAAAAGAAGTGCATATATCCTGGAATAATATGTTGTATCTTCAAGACGTTTTTATTTTCTAATATTTTCAAATAGTATAACAAATATTTTATAGTGTTAAAGCTGTATTTTTTTCTTAATAAGTAAATAAAAGACATTACAAATATTTTAAGGAAGTTCACAAGTATGTCTCTTTAATATTGAAATACATACAAATTGTCAGTATGCAACTATTACATGCTGCCTTTTGTAGGAAGTGTAATATTTTCCAAATTTGAAATAAGCCTTAAATTGCAAATGATGCGATACAGACTTAGAAAATGTTAAAATCTACAAGTTTGGTGAGTGAAGGATTCCATTTCTCCTTTCTTATAGGTAATGGTAATTTCATGCCAGGTTATATTTTATTTATATATTAATTTCATAGAATATTAATGTCTTAACTTTTTAAAGCATGCTAGTGTTTTATGTATTATACACATTTATTCAGATAGGGTAATCTTTACTGCTGCCTAATATTATACTAAAATATTGCTTTATCTATTTTTAATTACAAAATGCTAATGTTTGGCTAAGTTATAATTTGAAGACAGTTGGTCTAAGGAGCGGTATTTCCAGCCTTAAGTATGTAGCACAATGTAGAGGTAACCCAAGGCAATATTAACAAACCATGCTTTGTCTTTAATAAAAGGGATAGGATTAACAAATGTATTGATGGCATAACCTATTTAGCTATGTCCTTGTTTTTGCAATTATGTAACCTCGAATATTGGGTTGTTGAACTAACAATGGCTGTATTAGAGAAGATTAAATAAACCAAAAAATAAAATGTATGTAACACTGTCAGTTTTTTGGCAGAACAATTTTAGAGCAAGCAGAAAGAATTGATTTTTAAACTCTCCTCCAAATGAAGCAGTGACGTTGGTTGTTTCAGTCTTGATTTCCTCGATTAACTCTGCTTTCTTTTCTCCCTGATCTCATTTAGAAATCTAACTCTCATTCTTCAAGTTTAACTTTTTTGACATCCCCCTGCCAGCTCTGGAGAGCATCTGAATTTATTGGAGCAGCTTGATGAATCTGATTGTTCCATCTGCATTTTTATTGTATTATATCAGACCTTACAATACCTTAAATAGTCCTGCAAACATAAATGTATTGAACTGTATGTTCAGTTTATTCACGCAGATAAACCTTTGTCTTCTGCGGTGTCATAGAGGTGGTAGAAGACTTAATTTCACTCAGAGCCCAAAGCGTATCTGTTTAACCTTTACAGAGTTGCTGTCACTTCTTGCAGCTGAGGAGTTGGAGGATCCAGAGCTAATGTAATGTTTACATTTCCTTTTCAAAATGCTTTTTTCATTTGTCCCTACATCCTAGCTGTATGTCAGTGGAAAACTGCACTCAGGAATTTTTTTAAGTTTTACTGACAGTAACATTTATTCTGTATTCCACATTCGAAGCATTAAGATCCTAAGCAATAAAACAGAGAATTAGGCCAGATAATTGTTAGAAAACATACACTGTAGGGATTAGAGAGAGCAGCAGTTATGGAAATGGAAACTATTTATTCTGTATTATTGTTGAATTATTTGCATACGGGTGAGGCTGCAAAGTCCGCAAATTAGATATATCTTCTTCCCACCCATCCAATAACCAGTTCCTAATTTTATGTGCCTGGAGCTCAAGAACTGGATTAGGTTTCCCTAAAGATAGGTTGGTTATACATTAATAAGGACTGAGATCCATATCTTAGAAATGTAATTCAGGGGTACATACGTAAGAAGCATCTATTACATGGATCACAAATCTCACAGAAATTTAGCAAAAATGTCATTTTGCTGCAAGATTTATCTTGACATGGATATGTATTTCAACAGGAATATTTTCTTTCCACTTAGGAATCTAGTATATTTTTGAATTACTGAATTACATGTGAAAAAAAGACCCACACTAAGACCAGTTCTGCACAAAACAAAGGCTTCTGATGTTTATTATGTGATGAAATGCTGAAATGTTTCGACGTTTAGCAGTGCTCACCTAGAAGAACAAATTTTGAACCTTCAGAGATTCAGCCCAGTATCAGGAAACTAGACGCTCCTTCCACATAGCCAGGCTGCCAGTGTAAGTAAAGGTTATAATGAAAGTCATTTCCTACATTAAGACACTAATGCCTAAGTCCAGTTAATTCCTGCTCAAAAGTTTGTTTACTGCCCTAGAGCCCACATCTAAGTGATTTTATATTGGAGATCGGGAGTATGAAGAATTGAGGTGCAGGCAGCAATCATTATTAACAGTTCCATAGCAACCACAAGTCTTTACCTAAAGACCAGGACTCAGCCACTGCAAAACAAGTTTCAGATGAAATTGACATTGTGACCTTTATATTTTGTGTGATCTGGGTGTCCAGATAAAGATATCTGGAGTCAGGAACTTAATCCCTAGAAAACAGGCAGTAACTCGCATTATTAAAGCAATTTCTTACTTTTGTTTCAACTATTACATTATCCTGTGGTATTTAAACTCCAAAATTATTTTTAACTCTCCACATAAACTGCCCCAATTAAGAAGTCACACCTTTAGCACATCAGCTTGATGTTCAGACATTTAAACACTCTCCACTGTAAAAACGGTTTTTTTTTGAGTACTGATTGAGTAAAGCAACCTTTATTCCCTCAGTCCCCATTTGCTAAAATTCTTAGTGCCAAAGCAGTTAAGAGCTTACTCGACACCAGGCCAGGCACTGCCATGGCCAGCAATGCTGTGTACCCACCACATGTCAGACACAGTCATTATCTCCTTTAATCATACAAAGTCCTAGTATGAAGATACATTTTTTTTTTTTGAGACAGAGTCTCACTCAGTTGCTCTGAGCACTGTAGCTCACAGCAGCCTCAAACTTGGGCTCAAGAGAATCACCTAAGCCCAAAAGCTAGAGCTATGATGCCACAGCACTCTACCAAGAGTGACACAATGAGACTCTGTCTCTACAAAAAAAAAAAGAGAGAGAGAGAGAGAGAGATCCTCTTGCCTCAGCCTCCCAGCTAGCTGGGATTGTAGGCACCCACCAAAGTGTCCAGCTTTGTTTAGAGACAGGGTTTTACTTTTGCTCAGGCTGGTCTGGAACTCCTGAGCTCAGGCAATCCACCTGCCTTGGCCTCCCAGAGTGCTAGGATTATACTTGTGAGCCATCATGCCTGGCTGAAGATACTATTTTTACCTCCATTTGAAAAGAGTTAGGAACCTGGGAATGTTGAAGTTTATTGAATCCAACTAGTAAGATGGAGTTGGGCTCAGACTCTAGAGTTTTTAGCCACTCTAAGTTCTCCTTCATCCGGTTACAATTTAACTACTTTTCCTTTGAGAGCCACAGAATTAAGTCAGTAGTCCAAGTTTAAATAACCAGTGAGGGCAGGGCCAGTGTTCAATACCAATCTGAAATCTATGCTATTGCCAAAACAGGCACCCAATTATCACACAGCTGTGCTTGCTTGTAAGTCACTATATAAGCTCTGAATGGTATAATAAGTTCATTTTATCACCCCCTATGCCGCATCACATACCACTAACTGCACTTCATAAATGATTTTGATGATTGCCATTCCAATGCTAAAAAAAAAAAAAAAATAGCCTGTGGTTCTTGGAGAGTCACTGACACTGAGAGACTATTATTCAAGTCTGCTGAGGCCACAGAGGGGCCCCTTAGTTCCCTGGCCTTGTCCATTGTCAGTAGCTGCAGGGTTCACTTTGGGGCAAGGTTTAATAAGAGCAAGCTGTCAACAGAGATAGATACTGGAATCAGCTCATCCAAAGATGGCTCATGAAGTCTGCCACAAACTCTTTAAGTAAAGGAGTCATATCCCTGTGTCATACTAGAAATATCGCTATATGCTACTTGGACATTTCTGCTCAAAGGCTGGAAAAAAAAAAAAGAACAAATGGAAAATCAGCATGGGGCACAGGTTGGGGGGGTGGGGGTTCAGGAAGAGGAGTTAACCATGAAAACAGGGAGCCCTAGCCTATGAATATGATTCCTGCAAAACTGTCTAGCTGTGTATTCAGAAAAAAAACAGGAGGTAGGTCAAACAAATGATGGTGTCTCCATCTCTGTGGGCAAGAAATCAAAGAAAACCCTCTAGGCCAGCCCCCATTCACCCAGATGCACACTCCAGGCCGCAACTTCTTCCAAAGGCTTTAGCAGGGGTCACATATTCAAATGCCTGAAGGCTCAGACATGGTAAAATGACTGTGGAGGTGGGTGCCACTGTGGCAAAGCTATTGCACGTGGACCTTGTCCTGTCTGATAGACACCTTGAGCATTGGTCTAATCAGAGACACGTCCTCTTTCTAATTCCCACATGGGGAAGGTATGTTCCAGGAGCCACCCTGGTTGTGGGAAACTGAAAATCACTACCCAACTCTAGCTGCCATGTGAAAAATCAGGCCTAGTGGCTTTTAGGCCCCAAGCATAAGTCTCTTTTAAATAGAGCCAAACTCCAGATTTCCTTAAAATGAAAATCTCCTAGCATTTAACTTTTGGCAACAAGTTCAAATCTTTTAAACATCACATGAGCCAGACATAAATGTCTGCCTGCTGGATGTGGCCTAGGCACAAGCCATCAGTTTCTGATTCCTGGTCTATACAGGAGAAGAATCTTGGGTTCCCCTTTCCTTCCTGGAGACAGACACAAGAATAGAAAGGTAGTGACCAGCTTGGATCTGCCTGAAGAAAAAACACAAAACTTTCTTAGAGGGATATAAAATGCAAAATCACTCTTGACAACACATGTAAGAAGTTCTCCCCTTGTGGCTTATGGAATTTATGAAAAGTTTGCTGTTAATGCTGCATGTGTTGTTAATGCACTGACATGTTAGTAACCAATCCACTGAAGGGTGGTTGTATGTTCTCTAATGCTACAGTCACCAATCCCCAAGCTGTGGCTTCTTTGAAAC